CAGGGCTGCTCCAGAACCTGTGATGCCAGGCCCGCTCTAGAACCCACCATGCTCGGGCCTACTCTAGAACCCACCCTGCTCCAGAACCACATCCCTGGACGGGGTCACCGGGGTCTGAGGAACCGGCGGGGCCTCACCTCGCAGGTTCTTGATGAAGTCCTCGAGCTTCATCTTGCGCTCGGCCTTGACGCTGGGGCTGTACATGTCGGTGTTGAGGAGGATGATGGCGAAGGCCAGGATGAAGATGGTGTCCGGGTTGCGGAACTGGCGCAGCAGGGCCGCGTTACACACGCAGTAGCGCTGGCTGCGGGGCGGACAACCCCCAYGGCCCATGGGGTCACCGTGCCCCACGGCCGCAGCCGCCTCGCGGGGTGGCCTCTGCCCCCCCACAGTCACCCTGGGGTCCCTGAGTGGGGGGCAGCACCCCGATGTCTGGAGGGTCACCTAGAACATGGGCCACCACCCCATGTCCCCTCCTTGATCCCCAGAGTCACCCCATGGTCTGGGAGTCACCACCCCAATGTCCTGCCAGTCTGTAGGGTCACCTAGAATACGGGCCACCACCCCCATGTCCCCTCCTTGATCCACAGGGTCACCCCATGGTCTGGGGGTCACCACTCCAATGTCCTGCCAGTCTGTAGCGTCACCTAGAACATGGGCCACCACCCCCTGTCACCTCCTTGATCCACAGGATCACCCCATGGTCTGGGGGTCACCACCCTGATGTCCTGCCAGTCTGTAGGGTCACCTAGAATGCCACCTGGTCCCACAGGGGCCACCACCCCCTGGTGTCCCCCTTCAATCCTTAGAGTCACCTAGAACGTCACCCCATAGTGACCACACTGCTGTGTGCTCTGGCCTGGTGGGGATGTGGGGACAAGAGGAGATGGGGACATGGGGACAGGGGGACATGGGGACAGGGACCCACCCCTCACCTGAAGGCCTCGATCAAACGCTCGACCTTCTGCGCCTCCCCCTGCACCCGGATGTGGGACTGGAACTTCCGCAGCGCCTCGTCCAGCTCCATCCCGGAGAAGTCCATCTCGTCCACCACGCAGCTGCCGAGACCCCGCAGCGGGGGGTGGGTCTGGGGTCCCCCTGAGCCCCGGCCATGCCTCCCCCCGAGCTGACACAGCCCTCCCTTACTCGAGGACATCGCGGTTGAACTGTTTCTGGCGGTTGCCCAGGAACTCGCCGATCATCTGCCGGCTCAGGCCCTTCCGCTCCAGGATGAAGTGGGCGACGCCCACGGGGGTGTCGGACAGGAACCCCCTCTCGATCAGGTACTGGATCCCCTTCTCTGGCTTCCTGGGGGGGTGGGCCAGGGGTCAGCTGTGATGGTCACTCTGGCTGTAGAGTGACCTAGAATGTCACCTGCTCCYGGATCTGGGGTCACCTGGTCATCTAAAGGGTCACCTGAGGGTCACCTTGGTTTGGGGTCACTTGAGGTGACCATCTGTTTCTCTAAAGGAACATTGTCATGGCTTGAGCACTGGGTGACCCTGAATATCACAGTAGGGTTACCTAGAACATCACAGTAGGGTTACCTAGAACATCACAGTAGGGTTACCCAGAACTTCACCATAGGGTTACCTAGAACATCATTGTAGAGTTATCTAGAACATCATTGTAGGGTTACCGAGAACATCACTGTAGGTGACATTAGGTGACTGCAGGGTTACCTAGAACATCATTGTAGGACTACCTAGATTGACACTGTAGGGTTACCTAGAACATCATTATAGGGCTACATAGAACATCACACCTAGAACAGTGCTGTAGGGTTACCTAGAACGTGATTCTACAATGGGGTTCTACAGGGTCACCTCAAACACCACCCTGTCCTTGCTACAGGGCCATCACATCCATCCTGTCCTTCCACAGGGCCACCCAGGCCACCTCACCTTCCTCCAGGGCCACCAACGCCCCCTGTCCTCGTTATAGGGTCACCTAGAACATCACCCTGCCCCCGTCACGGGGTCACCCACAATCCCACCCCACCCCTTCCCCAGGGAC